GATCTTATGGGGTGCGTTACAGTGCATATGCGCAAAATAATATAATTCATTATAATATATGTTTTTTCAAAAGGTATGTTTAAAAAAATTAATAAAATAAATATATAAGAATTTTTTACTTGCTATATTAGTATAGTTGAGTCAGAATAAATAAGAAGACCTATATAAAGATATACAGTAACTATATTAAACTTTATTAATAAATTTATAATTTGTATTAAAAATTTTTTTAAATTTAACCAAAATTATATCTTAACACTTAAACTATTAATTTATCTATCTACTTTAAATTAGCTAATTTTTAAAAATTTTATACTTTTTTATCTTTTTATTTAATTAAAATATTTTAAAATTATAAATAATATTAATAAATTATATAATATTTATACAGTAATATAATAGATCTTAAACTATTAATTGAAAAAAGGTTTTTAAACTATATATACTGTATTTATATACTATTATATTATTAATACCAACTCTAAATCTTAAAAAAGGGCAAAAAAAAGTCTGCACCAAAAATTTTATTAAATAGGTTTTAATTTCAGCATCATCTTTAAAATCTTAATATTATAGTTATTGTGTGATTATATTACATAACTTTTGAAATTTTTTTTAGGTAGTGATTCTACCCTTGTGTTATGAGTCAAATTGACATAGGCCTTCTATGCTATTTTTAAGGCTCTTAAAAGAAAATGGTTCACGAAACAAGGTAACGCAAATTATTGTACTTTCTTATATTTAACGTTAAGAAGAAATAAGTGATAAAATTGCATTTTATTTTATTTTAATATGTAGTACTCACCTACTATTTTGCTTTTATTAACTTACCAAACCAACCTGAAAATTATAACCATCAACTTTCTCATAAATTTTGCAAAGTTTACTCATTTCCGAAATCTCTTCGGTTTCATCTTATTATCTAACTCTTCGGAAATTGCATCGTTATCTCCGGACTGAAGTTCCGAATACAGTGACATGTTTTCGAAAAGTTAGATGACCTTTAGAAAGTAACCGAAGAAATGAACCAACTTTTAGTTTGACCCAGAATTTATGAGAACAGCTGTAAAAAAAGGTTGCAATTAACGAATACAGGATACTATTTTAGTCTCTAAGTAATGCTTGTCAGGGTTTAGAATCTTGTAATTAGAGAGAAATTTTAAATTAGTTAACTAGAATTATTATTAACAAAGTAGTTTCTTTAAAATCAGATAGAAATTGATCCATTACTAAAGGAGAATAGTTTATTAAAATTCAAACAGATTAGATCACTCACTACTAATGAAGTTAGCTTCGTGTATTCAGGTAGTGGAAGACTTCAAAAAAAGTTTTTGGAATAAAGAATCATACAACTTTTAATAAAAATGCTATTAACAAATAATCTCAAATACATAATTAATGTGAATTAAGAATAGTTCGTTCTATAGAATAATTGTGCAAAACATAGAGACATGAAAATCTTTTCATGAGTTACTTGATTAAATGTAAAATTTATATTTCGTACCAAGAAACATCAGTAAAAAAATATTATTATATATACATGCCGTAGAAATCATTGCGGCATAATTTTTGACATGCGGTAATGCCTAAATCTAAAATTCATGCCGCAACTTATGATCAATGCCTAAAGTCATAATTAATGTCATAAGTGCTGAAAGTGATTGATGTAATGCCGAAAGTAATAAAGTATAAATATATCATCGATTGATGTAGTGATTTAATAAAAACAAATATTTTATTTAAATACTGAAACAATTCGATTTATAAATATTTATTATCTTTCAGATATTTATTGAGCATTGTTAAATTGACGCTTTGTTGGATAACAGAGATTTAAATTGACGTTTTTGGTGGATAACTTAGTGATTTGCACATTGGTAATAATAAGAAAATAAATACCCCCGATCACTATATCAAGTTCACGGGGTATTTAGTAAAAATATGTTATGAATATAAATTGTAGTATAATTAATAATTGTTACGTATAAATTACATAATTACACTAATACAGTAGCTATAATTATTATAATCTAAATTCATTGCCGCCAAAATTTGTCTTATGATCTATGTTTTGGATTTCGGCTTTTGTTTCGGATTGCGGCACAAATTATGACTTGCGGCTTTATTTGCCGAAAAATCGGTGCCTAAATACTTTCGGCGCAGCTGAAACTAATTTCCACGGCATAGACCATTCCAATTTATTCAACGATTCTGATCACTAGAAAGTCGCATTAAGGAAATTACTTGAGAACTAGAGCTATTACCCGGGTTATAACCCGGGTCAATACCTGACCCGCCCGGATCGGTATTTTCTGACCCGGGTAAGAACTCTATTGAGAACCCTAAATTAAAAGTATTGTAGTTTAAATATTGTATATTGTTACTCAATAATAGGCACCCAACTAGAATTGTTAGATGTTGAAAGTTGAAATTATTCGGTAACTTTCGATCAATGCTTAAATCTCACTCCTAACTAATTAAAGCAGTAATATAAAACTTCAATAACTTATCTTAATAAAAATGAACCTTAGAAAACGTAATGATAAGTATACATTAACGAAACTATTAGCTCAAAAATATCCCCTAGTTTTCTTCGCTACCTTACTAAGGCCATACAAATTTAATAAATTAGTTCTCATAACCCGGCCAGGTAAAATCTTTGATTATATTTACTGTCCGGTGGATTTTTTTAAATGTTATAAAACAATTTTATATATAAAATTTTTTTGAAAATAAAATTAAAAGCCAGGCTGTCGAGTCATTTTTAGAATTTTATTTTATGAGAACCAAAAGCTCTCGTTTCAACGAACCACTTTTTATGCTGCAAATTTGTAAACTTGAGACGAAAATAGGTTGTTTTTATAAGAAATAATTATGTTCTTAATATCAGAAACTTCAGTAATAATTTTGTTTTAGGGATATAACGTACGTATTTTAACCCAAGGTTTTAGGTAAAAAAAAAAAAGGTTTAAAATGTAATCTAATGATAAAAATTTTTGTGACTGAGCACGTGTTTTAGACCTGTAATTATGTAATTATGTATTATTAATATTATATACAGTTATATTTACTATATACAGTATATTGTATGAAATAGTACATATCTATTTATTGCGAGATCTAGGCCCAAAATGGTTTTCTAAATCCAAAGTTGAACGAAGTGGGAAGTGGTATCACTCGAATCCGAAGTAGGATCAAAATGGAATCGCTTGAACCCGATATGGGATCAATGAAGCTAATATGTAATTGAAGTGAGATCGCTTTGTACCGAAGTGAAATCACCTTAAACCCGAAGTGGAATTACTTGAACAAAATGAGATCATTCGAATCTGAGGTGGAACTATTTTATCCCGAAGTGGATAAGGATATAAAATGAGAAACTTTTATCAGATAAATCTTAACAATTTTTTCTGATGTGATCCTAAAGATCTACGAATCGTGTAACGGTCTTTGCAGAACCCTAAAGATCATGTCGACGCGAATATCTTGTTGGCAGTAAAAAAAATTTTAAAACAATATATAAAACTAATCAAATTGTAAATCTGCAGTAGTGATTTAAGCCGCATGATTTTAGTCAGCTGGCTAAGCCAGCTGACCAAAAAATCGGCCAAGCGACTAATAATGGCTGGTTAAAGAATAGATTAAGTCACGTAATTAAATCAGTAAGCTGACCAAAATTCCAGCTTGATAAATTTTGCCTAAAATTTCTTAAATACAAATAATTTTATTTATAGTTAATATAGTTGGCTAGCATTATTAAATCCAAATTTATTTAATTCGAATGTGAAGCTTCGAATTGTTTAATGCCGGCCTAGCTCCGATGCATTCGACTCTAAATTTTGGATTATATAAAAAAATGTTTATTATGTGATTGGTGAACCCTTAGCCGCATTAGTCAGTCGATAGTTTTATATTGGCTGGCTTAAACGGCTAAGCCGGCTTAGCCGTGGCTGCTTCAGCCGGTTTAAAACACTGCGGCGTAGCAGTATAAATATTTAGATAATTAACAATTCGGTTCAGTTAAACATACCCAGTCCCAGTACTATGCAGGTGATACTTCACCGGGTGCTATAGTAGTGATATATAATAACTTTTCAGCTGCAAGTAAAAGATTTTTTTTTTTTTTTTTTTTTTTTACGTCGTTGATTAGGGTTCAATAGTGTGACTAAATTTGGTTTAGAAATTTTAAGTTCTCGTAATATGCCAAAATTTTACTAATCAAAAGAACAATTTATCTGAAAAAGGGTTCCATACAAGTGTAGGTTATCTACTGCGCGAAATCTTTTTATGCTCGTATACAAAAATAAGGAACGCACAAATCAAATATAGGTAATTAAATTGGATGGAATTCTATAATTCTAACAATAGCAAGATTGTGCAGTGACTTTGATTACTCTTATTATTTTTTTTTCAACTCTATTTAACAAAGATCACGCGAATAACAAGAAAAAAATCGTGTAACTTATCTAAAATAAAAATTTTTTTTGCATAAAAAAACTCTTGTAATGTGGAACAATTTAATTTTGAAACTGCATTGCTGTAATAAATCTGTGTTAATGACCAAGGTTTTGGTATTATGAAGTCTTCAGAACGGGTTTTTCTTTGAGTATCTCCAAATGGGTAAGTGAAACATGCAATTCGATTATACCCCACCATTTGAATAATCAAAGTTTATTCAGCTCTAAGGAATCCCGGATTGTCAAAATTCGTTGGGGTTGCGACAGAAAGTTTTTTTGAAAAAAAATAATATATATATATTTTTTTTTTCAAATTTTTTTTTCATAAAATAGTGACGTTGACGAATAGGAATTCTAAATAAGGGCTTCTGATGCGCAAACATGAGAAAATAGTGCCTTCAACTCATTTACGTGCGACACATGAACTAGTCTATTATTGAAAATTGCATTGTATAGTGTGTGACATCAAAAAAATTTTATAAAAAAAGATTAACTGCATTTTTTGTGTTGTTGTCGATACTCTCGGATATCTTCCAAGTTTACCTATGAGCCAAGTATGTTGTCTTCATGTAAAGATATGCTCTTATTATCCTGACTTACCATCGTACTTAGAACCTTCAATACTGATTTCCTAGGTGAAGAACGCATATTCTCTTGTCTCTTTATTCAACCATATGGTTCGAATCGTTTAATCGAGTGTAAACCTTTCTAGAAAGTGGTAATTAACTGTCTATTTCTCGCCTAAAGAAAATAATAATAATAATTGAGGCCAGTTAGTGATATTAATCGGACCTAGAAATTTTTAGTCAGAGCTGAATTTTCTTTCAATTACGCTAATGTTTTTTGAAAGTTTTTTTTTTCTATTATTATTATTTTTTTTTCTAGTTAGCGTTACTTATAATTATTTATGAGAGATTAATATATGATACCATAGAACGCTGACTAAAGTTATCTGGATGCCATATAGAGATTACAATACCCTTTATAAAGGCACGATAAATATCTCCTGCGATATAAAATGTAACGTGTTCACGCATAGGGTTGGCACTTTAACCAGTGTTTAAAGCGAAATTCGGTTAATAATCCAAAAAATTCGTCTCACTTTATGACAATTATTCTTTTGTAAACATATTCAGTCATTGTTTAGGAAGATGACTTATAGTTTTGCAATTTTTTATTTGTCCGATTAATATCTGAATTCAAATGAAGCCTCTTTTTTTGTTCATTATATTCTAAACTTTATCCATGATTTTATGGATCATAAGACTTCCGTTCTAATAATATCTTAAAGGAGTTCTAAACCTTTTATAAGAATGCCGGTTTATCGCTGAAAGCAAAATTATTAACATTAGCTCATCTAATTTTTACAGTCGCAAATAATTGAATAAAAATCGTATATTGAATACCGGGTAACTGGTTTGTACACTTGTTTGTGTAATCATCTTAAAAAAACAAAAGAAAAACGCTAATTGTTTCTGTCCAATAGATGCCAAGGATGATTCGAAAATCGGTGTAATCGATGCAATCAATGCAGCAAAATTTCATAAAAAAGTACCTTGGCTAATTGTTGGTGTTCACGGGAAAAAAAATCCGTTACATGCTATGCAAATCGTGAATTTAATCCCTTCCCTCATAATTTTTTAAGACTACCATATTTGTGTCCTAACGATATATAACCTTTGTATATTTTTTGTTGTATGTATGAACATAACTTTTTTTTCGTTATGTCAATCATATGAATCTATGAAACTATAAGCTTGTTCATCTTTTCATTTTTATTTTATTTTTTATTTTTTTTCAAGTATTATTATATTTAAACTGATAAGTTTGCTGTTCTATTTTAAGCGTTATATATACTTGCTTTTATGTACTTTAAAGTTCTTTTGTTTGCTAAAAGAATTTACGATAACAATCTTTACCTAATTAGAGATTGTAATACACGTACGCACAAAAGTATTAATTGTTTGATGTTTCAATTGATAAATCACGCCATCTGAAAGGCATTGAATAGTTTACTTTGTCAGTGTTGTTAAAAGCAACATAAAATAAATAATTTTAGTATACCCGAACTTATTTATTCACACGCGGTAGGCTGAATCAAAGCGCTAAACTATAATTAACCAATTAGTATAATCATGTAGTATAACTAGGCCACAATAAACAATATATATCTGGAAAAATCATTCAAATCTCTGGAGTTGATAGCTTGGAGAAGATAAGATTGATTACATTTCACCACCATTATAATCATTCGAACAAATGATTATACCATGCAAGAAAAAGAAAGAGTGTCCCAGATATTTACATATCATTAAGTATGAGTAGGTAAGAGTATAAACGTTAATTTTGTTGAAAGCTAAATAATTTTGCAATTCATTGAAATTGCATCACTTTATCGGTGGGAAAAACTAGTCTGAAGGTTTGGTCAGAGCTTCGTTATTATTACCAAACATGTATAGTGTAGAAGTGCATCTTAGGCAAATTTTCGATCTTTGCCGTAATGGTAAATATTAAGCACATCATATAATTGTATAAATGACATCTCAGTTATTTTGAGAGTAGGGACCTTAGTCATCAATAGTCATCAATATGAATTTTCCAAGCGAATATATTAGATCCTAATCCATTTTATTTTTTAGGGAATTCATTAATATTTAATGGACCCTCTTTAAGTGTAGGGTGTGGGAAAGGAAATGTGTATTATATTCGCATCACGTGCTCATATTCTAAACGCTATATATATATTTTTTGAAACTGTTAAAAATGATCTGCGTTAAAAAAGATAGATATGTGCTTTTAAAAAGAGGTTCAATCGTAACACCCCGGAGTGTTTCCGCAATATGGCCGTTCCCATTTAGAACTCACGTAATACGTATTCTGATATTTTGTCATACGCGAACGAAATTTGTTAATCTAAGATTCGGCAAAAAATCCACAAAATTACCAAAATCGTCGATAAGTCCCAAAGTTTCGGGAACCTCCAGTCTGGTAACCGGATATATCGTCGATTTTAATTAAACCAATCATATTTGAATCACGTGTATTATCGTAATAAATGCCAAAAGAACCAGAAATGGATATATGTGAGATTTGGATTAGGAACAACAACCGTGATTCTCTTGAAAAGCGCTATAACTGAAAATATTATAAATATTATACGTTGCTTTATGCTTGTCGAAGTAAATCGACGTTTCAAAATCCGAATTTGTCGATGCAAAAAGAGAAAATAAAAAAAACCTCCCGATAAATCGTATATTGATGCCTGTACAGGTCTTCTATGAAACGATAATATAAATACAGGTTAAAGTACTTGTACATGATTTCCATGAAAGTATGCTTGATGAATGACTTGACGTTCGAGGATTATCGACTAGATGATCAACACGTGACCGAGAATTCTTCAAAAAAAAAAGGATATTCTTAATATTCAAATTCAATGTATATATTTCATTAAAAAAAGTAAGTACAGGATCTTCAAACCTTTGATCCATGTATAGTATGAACCACTTTTATAAACACTGGATAGTAACTATTATATACAATTATAAGAGAGCGTTTAGTTGTCAAGATCAAAAGATAATGCGAATCATTGGGTAATAAATCAACGTTACTAACACATGCTATTATACGAACATCAGAAGCAGGCTTCAAGATAAAAAAGGGTATATGTGAGCCGATCGGGCGCTACATATGTAAACCTACTAGATGTACAAATATAACTGCTAAATTTTTTAGATATCATCCTGTTCCTGTGTAATAAATAGAATAAGCTTCATTCCATTAGTAGTCGTTTTACATTAGTAGTATCAGTTAAATACTAAAGAATGGACCTCAGTTTGTAACACTAGACTTGCTGGTGAATCTTATTCAGTTGCAAGCTTCAACATTAAAATCTGATTGGCTGTTTATATTTAGCTCGCCCAACAAGCTTAATACTAAGTCAGAAATTGAATAATTAAAGTCATTGAAGCTCATAAGAGTTAAACTCTAGTATATAGTATAGATATATAATTATAGATACCTGATTGGCATTGTTTTGTGCCAAGGAATTCAACCCTTTTGTATATAAATAATTAAATATCAATTAAAATACATCACCTCCATAGATAAGTAAGATAAGTAATGATCCACATTAAGGGTGTTACGATGAGCTGACAGAGTTGTGTCCAATAATAATTGGAGAATTGAAAAAATAAAAATTGAAATCATTAAAATACAGTAGTGGAGGAGAAAAGTTTGAAATAATGTTTAACCTATATTTTCGAAGATTAGACTAAACCCTACCGCTACAGTTTGTAATATGTTTATGTTTCATCATATTGTAATTATAATATTTTTTTACGAGATTCTAAAATCATCGTTACACGAGGGCGATCATAGACCAACTTTCGTACGTACGTACGTATTATTGTACGCAGCACGCACGTTCGAAAAACTATTGATATGTTTTAATGATTTTATTTTTAAATGGACGTTACATTCGTCCAAGTCCAAAATCGTTGAAAACGAATCGGGGCTATTCTTGAAATATCGCCATTACTTAGTAGTTTGTTTATAATAAATGGTAGACATAAATAATATTGATACCTCGAGAATAGGGTTAACTGGACAAATTATTCATAGTGTTTCGGATAATCATATTAGTAATTTCTACCCGGATCTAATCCTTACTCAAGAATGAAGAATACGTAATTGAATCATTTTCGATGATTTTGGACTTAAAACGAATCCGCTAATCTGCTGCATTCTTTTAATCCTAAAATTATTCATTCTCTAAGTGCATAAAATTAAATGTTTTAATCAACTACATTAACATTAATACAGTAGCTCTAACTGAAAATTTTGGCCTAAACCAATGATAAGGCCCAATCCACTGAAAGCGGATAACAATGATTCCTAAGATAGTATGATCTTTCATTATCTTATCGTTATGCATCGTATGACTCTCAAAAACGGCTGATGATTTTAAACTTAAACTGTAAGATTCTTTTAAATCAAAATTGACCTGCTACCTTCGGATTACCAAAGATACTCATTCTAGGTTTTTATGTAAGAATTCAACGTTAGTAAATAAACCCTTTCCAATTCTTTCCTTTACAATCATTGAGTATGCTTACCTATCCCGATGGTAACAATAAAATTCACATGCCATATAATAAATAGTTATTGCATCCAAAAACAGTTTTATTTGTCAGAAGAAATGAGAATACCGTGATCTGATGATCATTTTGGATGACAAATAAAAGAAGTATCTGGCTTTGAATTTAATGTGCTGACCTGCGGTGCATCCAATAACGGATTTATTTTTCCTTTTCTTTATAACAAATAAATCTCATGAGTCTATTTGGCGTATAACACCTGTTATACGACCTACATTTACTATTAAAAAGAAAAATAATATAATAAATAATTAGTTATCACGTCCTTACGCCATGCATCCTGTCTGTACGATGAGTTTTTTTTCAGCTATTTACAAGAATATAACAGGAAACTTTCAGCTATATGAATTCAATTATCCAATAACGATAATATATTAGTTAATTTGCGAATTTCAGAACCATTCTTCTAAACCGTTATCTTTGCGTAATTTTACAAATTTGTACGTTAATAATGAGGCAGTATATGCGTCATTTTGCATTAAAATATTTGTAATCTTCGTAATGCATCAGACACTGACCATAAAAATTACGCAATGGAGGCACTTTCTGGGGCAAACGCTAATTTTTTTAATTATTCGGAATTTATCAAGAGGTAAAAAAGTATGATATATGATCACATGTAATCACGTGTATACCTTTCATTATTATCAGCTTTCTTATATCTTTCTTGGTAATTGACTATTCCACGTACGGGAATGCCCAGATTCTGAATATTTCTAAGCATGTTTAAAGTACCAGACACTTTTCACTGATGATTCATGACCGTCAATTTGTTTACATGATAAAATGATATCATGATATCATGATATCATTTGCTCTCGTTCAAATACGTGATATGGACCGGTGCAAGATTTGTATCTCCTATTATATGATATCAT